ACACAGTGTTTCTCATTCCTTAAAATGTTTTCTCCATTGATGGAATTACTACCAGTTTTTACACTGATCTGACTTCTTTTTTAATGTGGATTTTTGAAGGGCTGTTCTAACTCCATAATATGAAAGGGTTCACTTAATAATATATTTATTCCTTTTTATTTAATGTGTCCTCTTCAATGTTTGACTTTAATGTTAATCAGTGTGTTATGCTCATTATGATGAGTTTTTTCCCCCTCTTCTTTCTTACTGTCTAGATCAAGTTACAGTGAAGATGGAGGTTCTCTCATTCTGCCACAGCTCCAGAACCAGCTCCCCTCTCCCTGGTTTTATTGTTTTCTTCCTTATTTGTTATGTTCACAAGATGGAATCAGGTAGGAATCCGCACTGTGTCTGCTGCTTCTTAGAGGATTTATTTAGGCCCCGAAGTGTCTTAACAACATGCTTCACTCAAAGTCAATGTAACTGCTCACAGTGTATAAACTTCACCCCACAGCAAGATCAGCACCTTCATTATTCATTGTTTGCTCTGATTGTGTTGCTGCTGCTGGGTTATTTTATTTCCTCATGGAATAGTGCACGTCTGTCTCTTCACACAGGCATTTTTAAGGGATTGTCAAGGATGCCCAAAGCATTGGATAGACACTTATCGAAGAGTTTAATAATAACAATAAATAATAAGAATAAAATACATAAATTAACGTAGTGGGTTTCAGATGTAAAAAAGATCAGAGCCATAATTTGAGACTCCCATGTGCTCAAAAACAAGACAATCAAAATATATTGATGTCACATGACTTTTTAATTGGGCCTGTTAGCTAATATGTTAGATGTAATATACACCATATTATTAGGTATTATGTGCACGGTAGTGTTGGGAAGTTAACTGAATAATTCTGTTCACCGATATCAAGTATCCCACAGCACTTTACAAAGCTGAAGTTAGCATTCACCATAGAAAATAAGAAGTCTATCAAAGCCAAGATACATGACTGGTATGTCCTAGCACTGTTTGGGATGTACCTCCACATCTGCCTGGTATAGAAAGTGGTGTCCAAAACAGAGTTAAGGAAGGTTAAAAAACAACAAGTTAAGGAGCTGGTGGGTTGGATCTTGGGTGACGTATAAAGTGTTTTCTCGCTTGTGAATAGCCCTGGTATAAATATAAGTGTGTGTGGGGGGGGGGGATGTATTTTTGGAAGCACACCTTCTGTGTAAAGTGAGCATGGTGCAAAATAAGAATTGCTTCCCAGAAGGACAGTATGTTTGTCTCCTTTTCGGAGTGCACTGTTTTGTCTTTAGCCAATAATTTTGGCCAAGTTTGGTTATTTGGTCTCTTGTTCACATGAAGTACTGAACCATAATAATCCAACAATTGGCTCTAGCAATAGGGCTATGTCTCAGAAATACCTTGGTGAAAGAACACCAGATACGGCCCACTAACCCTACCCTTATTCCTGGTGAGGCCCAGCAAATTTCATGGCAAGGTCAGTACGCGTGTCAGTTTGAGATCACTCAGAAAAATGGGCTGTTAAATAGTAAGCTTGTCTCAACTATACACCAAAAATGTCCATTACCATTTCTCTGCCTCAGTTTCTCTGATGTGAGACTTTGCCAGGGACTGAACACACCCGTCTTCAGCTTCCCACCCCGTGTCAGCACTGCGTGCCTGTGCCATGCACTGAACCTACCAATTCTCCACTCTCTGTCCAGTGCTCTGTGCCTGGGCCATGCTCCAAGCTTGTCTGTTATCAGCTCCACGCCCCATCTCAGTGCTGTGTGCTTGTGCCATACACCGAGGCTGAGTGTTCTTATACCAGAGCCCCAGTCCTGCTGCCCATGAGCGCTGCTCTCACTTAAGCATTTAGCCTGAAATGTTCCATGCCGGGTGTCTGCTTCTGGCTGAACATTTTGGAAAGTTTGTATAAAATGGAATCTGTTGGATGTGTCCTTCATATCAAATTCCCACTTTCCTCTGAGCTGCTTTTGCTGTTCTTGCCCTGGTGCATTTTCCAGCAAAGTTCACAGTGATTGGACCCCGTGACCCTGTCACTGCCGTATTGGGTCAGGAAACTGTGTTACCCTGTCACTTGTCCCCCCGGATGAGCGCTGCAAACATGAAGGTGAGATGGTTCCGCTCCGATTTTGTATCCATTGTGCACCTGTATCGTGATGGGAAGGATCAGTATGAAGGGCAGATGCCAGAGTATCAGGGAAGGACAGAGCTTTTGAAAGCTGGACTCACAGATGGAAACGTTCCCTTGAGGATTCTCAATATCAGACGCTCTGATGAAGGAGAATACCACTGCTTTGTTCAAGATGATACTTTTTATGAAGAAGCTATATTGGAACTGCGAGTAGCAGGTCAGTGGCTTGTGTCAGTTTTATCTTTGTGTGGTCTGCAGGCTTTATTCTATCCTATTACAACAACAACTGTGACTCCCTACTTGTGAAAAACTGTTGCATTATTGTAAAATGTATCTAAATTTCAGCAAACAGACACTTTTATGCTTGGGAAAATATGCTAGAAACTTCCCTGACATGTTATTAAAAACACTTTCAGGATGGTCAAGGCACTTTCTTGCCCAAAAGAAATTCTTGATTGACTCCCAAAGGGGTCTTTAGTGAAGAGGGAAAGGACTTCTGGACACATATGAGCTTTCAGTTGCTCTGCAGTTATTTCTAGGATGTGTGGGTAGGGTGGGACTGACCCAGTTTTATGGCCTTCTTATGGGTTTACTGTTGGTTGTTACTTAAGGGTGTATGTGACGGGTTTGGTCACAGAGACCCCCTCAAGACTGTCACTCGATGTGCTAGGATACCACTGAGAACAACCCCCCTGCCAAATCAGGTGCCCCTCCACTCCTGTCTTGCTGAGTTAGACACACCAGTCAGCTCAAGCACAGACCAAGAGGTTGGGCCATACCCCCTGCAGTTCACAGAAACTGAGATTCACTCAGCTCAGGGGCTTCTCAGTTAACAGGGACTTTCCCATCACCCAGTGTTCAATCTTTCTTGGAGCCAAATAAATCTGTTTTACTCTGTATATAGCTTATGAGGGGTAAATTCATAAATTGTCTGCCCTCTATAACACTGATAGAGAGATATTCACAGCTGTTTGCTCCCCCAGATATTAATCATTTACTCTGGGTTTATTAATAAACAAAAGTGATTTTATTAAGTACAAAAAGGAGGATTTAAGTGGTTTCAAGTAGTAACAGACAGAACAAAGTAAGTTACAAAGCAAAATAAAGCAAAAACATGCAAGTCTAAGCCTAATACCTTAAGAAACTGATTACAGGTAATATCTCACCCTCAAAGATGTTCCAATAAGCTTACTTCACAGACTGGACTCTTTCCTAGTCTGAGCCCAATCCTTTTCCCGGTACAGTCCTTGTTAGTTCCAGCAGACATCTCAGTTGGTAAACAGGGGTGTTCTCATGACTGGCCACCCCCTTTGTCCTCCTCCACCCCCTTTTACTTATCTTTGGTCACAAGGCGGGAACCTTTTGTTCTGTGCTTGTCCCCACCCCTGCCTCATCCATGGAAAAGTACAAGGATTAAGATGGATCCCAGCAGGGCTGTCCCTAGCTGTTCTGGTGCCCTATGCAGCCCCATGTATGGGGCCAGCCGCAGGCCTCTGTGGGGGGGTGGGGGCTGTCTGCAGGCCTCCGTGCGGGGTGAGGAACCACCCCAAGCATGAGCTGGTGGAGCGGAGCAGGCTGGGGCCAGGTCGCTCCACTTCCCGCCACCTGGTGAATGCAGGGCAGCCAGGCCTGACCCTGCACTCACAGGGTGATGGGAAGTGGAGTGACCCAGCCCCAGTGCACTCCACTCCATGGGCTCCCAGCCATGCTGCTGGCTTGT